AGCGCTCTTATCACAATGCTTTTATCCAGTGGATCACCGGGCACAATCTGTAAAGTGATAAAGCAATGATAACAATCAATTTAAACAACTAGGACGAATTTCAATAACTTATACCTCAAAAAAAGGAGAATTATAAAAATGATTTATACCTTTACATCTCAGAAAATTATAAAATTTATAAAAATAAGCGACAAAATAATGTCAACAATCGTTCAAATCACAAGAAAAAATCGTAAAAATAATTGGAAAATTATTAAAAAAATAAAAAAATTAAAATAATACTGCTTACACTGTAATTGTTATTAATTTAGAATAAGCGAACTGCAGCATCCAGGTTGACCCTGGAAGTGCAGATGGCGAAGGTGCGAAGCAGTACGGGAGAAAAGAAATAGTGTAGATTAGAGAAGGTAAGAGCGAGATAAGACGTTTCGGTCCATTAAGTCTCATACGTTTTAACTCAACACTGCGACTGGACTTTGTCAGTATGACGGTCGCAGTGCATAAAGAGAAAGAAGAAAGAAAGGAAGGAGGAAGTGAAAGAAAATGGAAACTGAAAGTGAGGGGAAACAAAAAATGTAAACGAAGTGTGCTCGCAGTACCTAATGAGACTAATAAGGTAGGAAAATTACCGTGAAAAAACGAGGACAAATAAACAGATCTTAACCAAATTTCTAACAAATAGTAATTACCTGCCAATGGCTAAAAACAGCCAAGCAAAATGCCTGGCCCTGTGTATGTGTTCGCAAATCGGTTTCAAAGCCAAATGAATCGATCACTGGTATATAAGCTTTGATCGTGTATAACGGTGAGCCCGGTATTGGAGCATCCGTGGTCACGTGGCCACGTCGTTTTGCCAGTACGGTGTAAACCGAACTAACGCAATCAGCTGGAGCGGTTACTTCCACAAAATAATACGGTTCCATTAAGCGTGGAGTTGCCATCTTCAACAAAAAAAACTTTTTTACTTTCTATGTGATTTTTCAAAAAACTTAAAGTTTGCAGCATATATGAAAAGTTCAGATAGCATATATGTAGGGGAATTTTGATT